AAAAAAACAGCGTTTTTTTTTGTTTTTGTTTTTTTGAAATACCTTCACTCACCCAACTCCCCCCCCCAAAAAAAATATTTTTTTTAATTTGTTTTTGTTTGAGGGGGTGGGGCTGGGGTTGCGCCGCCCCATGGCGCTTCCCAAATCCCAAACCCCCCTCCCCACTGGCCGCCATGCGGCCGCAAAATCGTGCGGCGGCGCGGACACATCCACGGGGTTGCGGCCTAAGTCTAGGCCGCGGACTTGTCCGCGGATGGCCGCCGCCGAGGGGGATTCGTAGATTGGGGGCTGCGTCTGAGGGAGGCCAGCCGTGTGTGAATTTTGAATACCAAGGGACTCACTTTTATCTCCATTGTTGTTTTGTCTAAGTGTGATGTGTGTCGTCACTGTCGTGTCCCGAGGTATGGGTACTCAGTTGTATGCATGCTGATTGATACAAGAGTCCATGGACGTTGAATGTATCGCTGTCCAAGATAGATGAATGAGTAGATGTGTGGGCGTCTCTGGGGAACACTGGGTGTCAACCGTCTGCATGAATGCATGAGTGTGTTGGATTTCCCTCCCTTCCCCGACCCTTGCCGATCCGAGCGCAGCACGTATGCATGGGGATCGTCGCTAACTCTTTCCCTCCTCTCCCCTCACGCTAGCTAGTGATCCGGGTCAATTGGGCTCGTGTTTCTCAACGACTTGCATCAGACAAATGGGGATATCAGTCACATGAGTGTCCGCGACACGGCTGATATCTTCGCGACTGGATCCTAGTCACATGTGTCCTGAAAACAATTGGTGATCATGACGCCGAATCCCTGAGCCTGCAATCTGATTGAAATGGAGAGGGTGAGGTGAGTTCCATTGAGCTTTGTATGGAGTCAGTGTTGCCTCGGCAAACGCGGGCTCGAGCTTTGTATGGAGTCAGTGTTCGCCTCGGCAAACGCGGGCTCAGACAACTGCCCGTGAACAGCGATTTCGTCAAAACGGACATTTTATATTTTTTGAACGAAATTGAAATTGTCATTTTTGAGATGATTGAAGTGCAAAAACCATTACAAATGGGCGTTCTGGTGTGAGGGGTAAGGGGTAAGGTATAAGGGGTAAGGGGTAAGGGGTAAGGGGTAAGGTGTAAGGGGTAAGGTGTAAGGTGTAGGGGGGTAAGGTGTAAGGTGTATGGGGTAAGGTGTAAGGTGTAAGGTACCATGCAAGGGGCAAGTGACACAGTGCACCGAGGAATAATTAACACCTTATATACATTGTTTTTTGTCAAGCGCCATCTCGTGCCAACCACGTCCGCCCCCTTCGCAATCATACTATAGAATATCACGTACACACTACTCACGAGCCACTATGTCCAATGCCATCCGATGACGTATCGCGGGTATGTCATCTGCGGTGAAACAGAAAGGCGGAAGTTGGCCCCGTGCCAAAAGTGACGCGTACGTGAGTACAAAGACCCCACATTCGTTCGTGTCATGTTGCTTTGGAATGCCCTCTACATTCCATATGTGATTGAATGGTCTCGTGTCCACCTCTTCGCCTTGCGATTTCGATTTTTCGAATAAAAACTTCGCAAACCCGCCGGTCACTTTTAACGCGAACTCCTTGTCGGGGTCGAGGGGGTCGTAAAATTCGAATTTCCTCCTCCTTAAGTCAGCCACGACCAAGGTCCAGTGTTCTTGGTGTGCGATATGGAAAGGAGCAATAATCAAATCCATGTCACTTATAATTACATCCTGGTACCAGCGTTCTACCTCTCGGCCTCTATATCTCATGTCATTATCGAAAAGTTTGACAAAAAAAAACGAGCTCAACACTGATACTCTAGGAATGCGACCGTTTCCTTCTCTAATGACTATCTCATTATCTGCGTCGCATTCTACGTGCTGTATTCTACAGCAGTTGTCTAATGCTACGAGGTTGAGATAAAAGTTGATCACGTTGTCGTTTAACCACTGTTGTTCGACGGCGAGTAAAAGAAAATCGCTGCGAGTGAGTTGCAACACTTCGTTATTGTGCGCATCTTGTGTGCTGACAACAGGATACCTATTCCCGTATTCACGAATGATATGCGCTAGTGCTGCCATCTCCCTCTCCGATAAAGACGAAGTTGCGGGATGCATTGTCCATCCTCTTTTGCACAATCTTGTATCCGTTGTTGTCATTTTTACTGCACACCACAGACGATGAGGAAGAGGACATTCACGAGGGCGGACGGGGCAAGTATTGTGAGTGCATGGCCAAACCCTTTGTGAGAGTTGATGCATGCAAGGCATGTTTTTATTATTTCTCTAATATTTTACTTGTATGAACGTCATTCACATATGCAGTCATTCATTCCTCGCATCGATCGACCACCTTTATATAGTACGTCCGCACACACACGTCCATGTCGCACAGAGAGAGAGAGAGAGAGAGAGAGAGAGAGAGAGAGAGAGAGAGAGAGAGAGAGAGAGAGAGAGAGAGAGAGAGAGAGAGAGAGAGAGAGAGAGAGAGAGAGAGAGAGAGATGTACAATACCACACATACGCTCCCACCACGATTTGTTACTGCACGTCGAGATGGGCAGTCAATCTAAACATCTCAGGTCTATTAAAAATTTGAGGTGAAAAAAAATATATACATAAATGGAAAAACGATGTAGAAGTGGTGCCTACGGAGACTAATACGAATTCTGTTTTAAACAAAACAACGCACCAAGTCAATTACACAATTTCGTTCAACAAGGCAGAGGTGAAGTTGTAATCATATCACTGGATTCTCCCCCTCCAATTGCACCCCTCCCGCCTCACCCACCCTCACCCTTTTAATCAATATCAGCGGTTAAGGTGTCGAGGTTGCGAGAATGGTGCATCCCCTCCACATCCCCTCCCTTCCCGCCATCCCCACCGGCCCCTCCCTGTGGTGTCAGCGGTGATTGTGCATCACCTTTGCCAGTGCGTAAAGACGGTTGCAACTGACTCTCCGCCACGCTCGGCCCAACATCAGACTCTGACTCGATCTCAGATGTGCCTTCCTTTACAGCATTTGTTATCAATAAACTCCCGTACGTCGCACCTGCATCCAGCGGCAACGTCGTTGACACATCGATGGGTGGGGACAATTGTGCCGCGGCGACCGAGATGGATTTTTCCGATATTTGTGGCATTGACGTCATGTCAACCTCTTGAGGCTCGACAACAGTAGTCCCGTCATCTTCCCTGTGCCCTGCTTGCGCGGCCACGGAGGACGGCTCAGCCAAAGGCATGAAATCATGAGAGCAGCTCCCCTCCAAGGTTCTAGCGGTTTGATCAACCTTCCAGTTCATTGACCCGCGTGAGGGACTCGAGCGCAGGGCATAAAATTTGTTGCTGTACTCCAGTTGCCGATTGTCGCACAAGACATGAAACAATTCTTCGGCCTTGGCTTTGATGGCGGCCTCGCTCTGCCCTGGATTCTCGACGCGCACGCGATGCAGGATCGGGAGCTCCGTCGTTTTCAACCAGATGTCCTTTGACATCCGGCGAAAAGTCTTCCAACCGCTTGTGTATTTCACTGCCATCTTCTACTCCCCATCTTGGATGCACGGCTGTAAAACGCCCTCATGCCATATGATGTCATGGCCCCACTGATCCTCGCCTATGTGGGTGTGTTTGCCTTCCAAGAAATATATCGTGTTCGGGTTAGCACAGTAGCCTGGAGGAATTGCATCGCCTGGTGCGAGCGTCGACGCCTCCCCTGGTATCTCAATGTCGTCTTCTTCATTGTCACCGCATCTTCCAATGTCTTGCAATGCAGCAGTCTCCCACGGGGCCACCATTGAGGCGACGCTTGGGGCGGCCACCGGGATGGACCCTTCGTGCGAATGGACAGTTCCGTCATCGTGAGCTTGCACCATTCCACCGCGCAAAACCTCAGCACATGTGTCCTCGCCCAGTTCGAGGTCGGAGTCCGAAGAATCTTCCTCGCTGTCGACGGGGTTAAAGCCATCGCCCGATTTCGCAAGCTCCGCGTAGTCCTTGGACGTCAATTGGTCTTTGTGAAGATCGAACTTCAGGATCTCGCATCGAGCAACAAAAGTCTCAAAGGCGCACATGAGAGCACCGTGATAATGTTTTAGGGTCTCTGTTGCCTTTGCTTTCCTATATATATATTTCCCGTCAAGCCGTCCTTGTGGCATATCACGGAACAGGTACTCCCACACCTTCAGTCTCTTAGGCCCCAACTTGTGGAACATGTCCCTGTTCGGACGATGTTTGCAACGCGGTTTCTCGACGTGGCAATTGGATCTGTCGTCCTTGACAAGCATATCGATGAACTTTGTCAAGTATGCAATGTCCTTTGCCGACTCGTCACAGGCAATGACATTATTCCCTTCCAGTAAGAATTCCCACACAAGACCCGCGTGCGCCCTACCCGATAAAAACACACCTTCTGCCTCCCCGACGAATGACCCTCACAACGAACGCAACTTGCCAAACTCTCGCTCCCATATGGAATACACCACACTTTCATCGCCCTTTATGCCACCGTATTTCCCCAGATACTTCCCGAACTTCTCCTCCACAACATGCACGTTTGTGAGGTCATTGATAAGGTGGTGTGCGACCGTGACCTTTCTGAGATCCCCTCCCTCCGCGTGTAGGACAATGGCCATCATGTCTCGACTCGCCGTAGCGATATTGCCGTACCTCGTGATGTCACTCGATGGCCTGTCCACCCGTTTCCAGGTCCCGAGGATGAGTTCGACGTCCTCCCACCGGAATAAGCAACGCATAACATCACTTTGCACTTTCTGCGGTGCGAAGACAAAAAGAACCCAATTAACGCCACAACACTTAGTCATCATAGAGTGCAGAGCGTCGAACTCTTGAGAGGTCCATGTCGTGCAGAAGTTGGCGGGGGAGATAATAAGGATGACGGCCCTGTAGGTCATTTTTTTGCGCCGCAGCGACGATGTCGTCTGGTGCAGCCAACACTTCCTTCAATGGCATGCACACCGGTAGCAATGTTGTTTGTTTTTTAAGTTTATCCCACACGATATGACGTGCGCTGGAGGCTACCCGTTTGACCTCCACCCGAAGCAGATCGAGCGTATCGATTGAGGTGTATACAAACACCTTAAAGTGGAATGGAGCCTCCTTATACATTGCCGCCGTAGGGCCCAAGCCTGATCCTTGCCTCACCTCCTCCACCCCTCCAAGCCGTCGAGGGACCGTCTTCACTTTGCTGACATGCAACTTATCTCGTTCCTTCTCCCATTCAGCTGCACACAGACCGTTCGGCCCATACCTGTCCTTGAGGTCCCTGTATAACATGAAGAAGGCATCATTCCATTAATTGTCCGCCCTTCCCTCGTCGCGGAATACAACGTAGTTGAACATACGGACCATGTAGCGTTCCTTGCGCATGTTGTCGAGGAGGCACTCCGTATTCACTCTCGGAGGCATGACCTTGACGTTCGTCGCGACCACCTTCCCTTTCATGAGGAGGAGCAGTGTAACTTCCCTCTTGCGGCACGTTAAATCCCCAAAGTTTTTGAAGTAGGAAGGACAGAGATCCTTCCACGACATAGGGGAGCCTTTGGGACCATCACTCGCGTATATGCAATGGTATAATGTTCTTTGCCCCTTCGTCTCGTCGGTGTACGGGCCTGGTTGGCGCCCCTCCATCCTACCCGGCATGTCAAGCGGTATTTTACCATCGCCAACTGGCAACTTCCCCTCGTTGAACATTTCGAAAAACTTCTCGACCAATGGCCACACAGCCTCGGTGGATGTGACGAGGTTCATATAGCCACGGAGTTTATTGCTCCAATCCTTACTATACTCGTTCTCGAGCGCTTACTTCACGAACGCCTTGTCGCATGCCTTCCCCATGGAGGCCCTTAAGAAATTCTGCCACTTCTTTTGGTGCGCAACGGCGACCGCATCCTTATCGCTGACCTTGCCTTTCAGGGCCTCGATTCGGTGGTTATCGATCCACCATTGCCTCATATAACGGACAACATCCTCGAATGACAACATCATGGCCCGATTTTCGCGCGTGTTGTCGAAGGCGGAGACATTGAAATACCCTCGCATCTGGTCATCTCCAAAATAGACGACCCGCACCTTAGAGTACGCGCGAAGGCCATAGATGTCGACTGCCGGAGAGCCCTTTTTTACCAATGTCTTCATCCCCTCGACCGTATGCTGACCACAAACAGCATACCAATCGAACTCCGAGGAGTCTCTTTCGAAGAATTCGGTCGGTGTTATCCGCCTTCCCTGCCCGCCGACGATTTCGTTGCGGTCAACCGGCGCAAGCATGAGCTCAGGCCTATCACACGCCCTCGGTTCCGTGGTGATGGAACTCTCAATGACATTCTCGATGCCTCGCACAATGTTCGCAGACAAAGAGCGGTGGTTGAAAAGAATATTCCCGCGGGGAATGTGTTTGATTTTCATGACGTCCACAAGAACAGGAAGGACTTTTTGCTTAGCAAAACCCCGCTCGTCGTACTCGAGGAAGAAACAACGCGTCGTGTCGATGGGCGCAGCGTGCTGAAGCGGTTCATCACCATCGTCAGGCATGTGAGGGCCCACTCCCTCGCCCTCATCCCCTGAGTCCCGCAGTTCTTCTGCCCTCACTATCTGCTTACCTTTTCTTGCTCCACCACGACCGCCGCCACGATCGCCAGATCTTCCCCCCTGGCTGCTCTTCCGAGGAGGTCTCGCCTCCTGGGATGCTATCAGAGTTCCACGAGCCTCATTAACAGCGTCAGTCCTCGATTGTCTCTTGTGAGCGGAAGCAGAAGGAGAAGTTTCTCTTGTCCTTTTCCTCGACTTGGATCCTCCGTGCTCCTGCGAGTCATGCCCACCCTGACTCCCGCCTTGTGAATGCAATATAGCAGGGGACGACAAGGGCCGACCAACAACCGCTCCCACAGAACCAGTGGGGATGTCGCCAAGGCCATGCTGCGACGTGACACCGACGTCGTCATCGCCAAGCATGTTCTGGTCCTGCATGTTCTCATCCCCAACGTCCATATACTCGTCATCACCGTCGTTTTCACGCGGACTGCAGCTTCCCCCATCTTCTTCCTCCTCGTTTCGCTCAGTCAGGGCAGTCGCACCTTCCTCGACACTGTCACGCGCAACATTGCGTCCATATAGAAGTCTGTCATCGTACTCCGTAGCCTCGCTGGAACATTGAGCGATATCGTGACCTCCCCTCACCGTGGGCAAGGGCGAGGGCGATGCGGCTGGCAAAGGCGGAGCTGGACAAGCAGCCAACTGATTCCTCTTCCCAACCGGCGCAGATGGCGTCTGTCGCGATTTCCTCGAGTTCGTGATAAAGGGCACGAAAGCGCAGTCGGCTTGCTGGTCCAGAGGCAGCCTCGAGAAGGCTTCCCTGTACTCCTTAACAACGCCTGGTAGTTGGTCCGCCGGGCTGCTGAATTTCACCAAGGGTTTGGTGAGCTCCAAGGAACTTTCAACGACAGGAAGGCAGCCAGTGACGCGGTAGACGTTCGTTCTACTGAGGAACTATTCAGCAGTAAGCATGTGAAGCTCGGTGCCGTCTCCGCGCACGTCAAACACTTTCATGGAGAAAGCCTTGACGCCGTAGCCTTGAAAGAGCTGCAAGTTAAGGCCGACCTTCTTGTCTTCCTTGACCCAATTTGTGCCATCGTTGTCGAAAATTGACGTAAGAAAGAAGGTCCTGAACGACCTCCCGTCATAGGTATTCCCGGCGCTCTCAGATTTCTCAACACCCCTACAGCAGTACCACGTCGCACCATTGTCGTCACTCAAGAAGACGACGGCCCCACACCCAAGCTTATGAAGACCACCAACCCAGTCCAGAGACCATGGTTTGTTGTTGTAGATCTTTGACCTGCCGTATGCCCGAGAGGTCGAAGCAGCAGGTTGACCTAGAGGGCACAAACAAAGGAAACGCACAAGCAAAGAAAACATGAGGAACAGACAAAAGTACTTCGCGTGAGGAGCCGACCCCCCCCCCCCCTCTCTGGCGTCGTCAAGGGTCGTGGATCTGCCCTTCTCCAAACGACAAACCCCCATCGCCACAGCCGCGCAAGGAAGGGATCCAGCATCTCCAAAACGGTTGATTCCCAGACCCTTGTCTCCCCACCATCGTCTCTTGAAGGAGGTACGGCATTTCCAGAACGCCTGACCCCTGACTGTCGTTTCACAAAAGGGGTCCAGCGTTCCCTAGACGACAGACACCCCGACCCTCGTTTCTGAAAGGGGGTCCGGCGTTCCCAGAACGCCCAACCCCCGACAGTCGTTTCACAAAAGGGGTCGGGCGCTCCCTAGATGCCCTACACCCCGACCCTCGTTTCTGAAAGGGGGTCCGACGTTCCCAGAACGCCCGACACCCCGACCCTCGTTTCTGAAAACGATGGTCGGGGGTCGGGCGTTCTGGATACGCCGGACCCCTCGTCCCCCCCCTCCCCACCGGTGCCAAGAGGGTGGGGGTCGGGCGTTTTCAGAATGCCGGACCCCCGCGGTGCCAAGAGGGCGGGGGTCGGGCGTTTTCAGAACGCCGGACCCCCGCTGTGCTAAGAGGGCGGGGGTCAGGCGTTTTCAGAACGCCGGACCCCCGCGGTGCCAAGATGAAAGAAAACATGCACAGACCCAGAGTTGTCGTTTTTTCTCGGTCATCGTTATGCATCTTATCATACTTGCAAAGTCAAATAACATCAAAAACGCCATGCAAACAAAACACGGTATTGCTTATATTCAATCAACTTTAAGTAACACTATAATTACCATAACAAATTCTTTTGGAGATACCAAATCTTGGTCCTCTTCTGGTTCAGTGGGATTTAAAGGATCTCGTCGTTCAACCAATTATGCTGCTCAAGCTACTGCTGAGAATGTAGCGCGTGCTGCTATTCCATTAGGAATTAAGGTCCAAATGCTTCGATACAATCGAACACCAAATATTGATGAGTCTTCTGCATAAGAAGATTCAAGATGATAGATTCTTGACTCTAGTGCGAAGGCACAATCCCAAGGGAAGTCCTGTGTTGATTTGATAAATATTAGCAAGAGGATCCCTTAGAGACTATGAAAAAAAGTAGATAGAAGATATGGAAACAGTTTTAACAAGTACGTCAGCAATCAATTTGTCTCGTAAAAAATTAAAACAAATATCTTTGTCGGATCAATGTAAAGCAATTATTTTAGGATCTCTTCTGGGAGATGGTTCACTCAAAATATTCAATAAGAATGCAAGATTCTTTATTCGACATAGCCAAATTCAAGAAGAATATTTTCTATGGAAGGCTAGTGCACTGCAAGAAATATCACCTTCGGTACCTTCTGAAAAAAGTGGTTGGACCCCCGCGGTGCCAAGAGGGCAGGGGTCGGGCGTTTTTAGAACGCCGGACCCCCGCGGTGCCAAGAGGGCGAGGGTCGGGCGTTTTCAGAACGCCGGACCCCCGCGGTGCTAAGAGGGCGGGGGTCGGGCGTTTTCAGAACGCCGGACCCCCGCGGTGCTAAGAGGGCGGGGGTCGGGCGTTTTCAGAACACCGGACCCCCGTGGTGCTAAGAGGGCGGGGGTCGGGCGTTTTCAGAACGCCGGACCCCCGGATGCACTGCCATCGATAAACCCGGGTGGGGGGGGGGGGTCCGGCGTTCCGAGAACGCCCGACCCCCGCCCTCCGCGAGCGGAGGGGGTCCGGCTTCAAACTACGCCCGGACCCCAACCGTCGTTTCCGATAGGGGGGTCGGGCGTTCCCGGAACGCCGGACCCCTCTTTCAGAAACGAGGGTCCACCAATCATACACACGCACTCTCTCTCTCTCTCTCTCTCTCTCTCTCTCTCTCTCTCTCTCTC